GCCTACAACAATGATCTTGGCACTGCTTCACAGATGTTACTAACCGAGGTTAAATTAAGTTTACGGTGAAGGCTCATGTTTCATTCCAAAAAAAAAACATATTTATATGAGCTTCTTCTCCATATATAACGTGTGTAGAAAACCTAGCTTTTGGAAAGCCAACAAGGCAAAGTAGAACCTGCTGTGGTGGCAATTCATGGAAGGCAGTGGATGGAAATCTTGGTACAAACTTTATTTATGGTGCTCAGTGTACACATACACAGGATGACAACCCCAGTTGGTGGTGGGTGGACCTGGGTTCAGACAACGTGCCAGTCTCTGAGGTGCTCCTAGTCAACAGGTTCTCGCCCCTTGATCACGTAAGACAAAGAAATAAGGACTTTGTACTAACATTAGGTCAGTAGTTTTGTTGTTGTTCGTTTTCTACACAGAATTATAGCATTGATTTATTTTTATTTCTTATTTAACATCTTATTTTTTTTTATTCAAGCATTTATTTCAATTACCCTTTCACAGGGAACTGTCTACAATAATAATGAAAAAGAAAAAGGAAAAGGGAAAAATATTACATACTCACAATTACATACATCATGCTATTATATATGCTTCAGGTACAAATTGTTTTCAGGTTCAAATTATTTAACCTAGGTTGATTCTCTATTTCCTTTGTTTCCTAACCCTAATTATTCAAGAATTAGGTCTACGAGACAAAGGAAATTGAGAATCAACCTAGTTAGGCTGAATCAAAATTAACGTGAAATCAAATTTGACCTGTAACAGATACATAACAGCCAAGAAAAAGCCACACAATTGCTGGAAGTGGCTTATTTTTCCAGTTAATTAATTAATGCAGACAACTCTTGTCTTGTGTAGACCTTGCCATAAAAGACACCCGATAATATGGACAGCAGCTAAATCCCAGACAATAAAAAAATACATTTGTCTGAAATGAGTACACTACACATGTAACTCGAGGTCCCTACAGTGTCCACTATAAAGGGACTTGACTATACTTGATTACGTAGATGGAAAAAAATAACACTTATTTAGAGTACTTGTATGTACTCTAAAATTTTACTAATATACAGAAAAAAAAATTTAGATAAAAAATTAAAATGTTAATTACATACTAACAGGAGACCAAATTATAAAGAGGAGAGAGGTCTTCTGGCTGATGTTTAAAGAAGCATTCAAAATGAGCGGAACAAAAAACATTCACAACTTATTTGTTTATTAGTATTTTTGTAGATATTTTTGTTTTATTTTTATTTATGACAAGAAGGCAAGACTATTTATTATTCATCTAAAATATTTCTGCGTTTCTGATTGGCTAAAATCCTATGCATAATTCTTCATAACCAGCTTCTGTCGACCAAATTTGGAAGAATTTTGCGATATGTGAAAAATGACGTCAATTAATTGGGCAGCATCTAATTGCCAGAAAACTGAACAGTTAACCTAGAAGACCTGGGGAAGAGGTTGAGTTGTTTTGGTAGAGAGCACAAATGGGGCGAAACACGGTAGTCGGTTGCTAGGGCTTTTGCTCCCACACCTCTCAAAACTGAGAGTTTAAGGCCATAGAAAGAAGTAGAATGCATGGAATGTAACAAAACTTGGCAAGGAAGTAAGTTGATAAATTACCTATTTATTGGTGTTTATTTCATCCCATGTGACTTCTATTGTGACGTCATAAATGATGTCCAAATTTGGCATCAGAAAGAAAATTCAGGAAAGAAATGCTAAAAATTTTACATTAGTTTTCTGTATAGAATTCTATGATTTCTGGTGAAAACCCCATCTCAATCGGATGAAAAGGCGCAAAGTTACATTTAATTAAAGAAATTCAAATTTCCCGCCAAATGACCATATATGGTCAAACTTTAGGGGTATTTTAACGCGAAAACAATGAAGGTAGTCGCAACGGAGAAAAGACAAATTTGCATAAAAACAAAATTGTAGTTTTTTGAGTTTAGGATGTGTGGTCTATGACGCGTATTTCGTCACGAATTACGTCATTTTGACGTCATAATGACGTAATTTGTGACGAAATACGCGTCATAGCACCACATATGCCGAATTCAAAAAACTACAATTTTGATTTTATGCAGCTTTGTCTTTTTTCCGTTGTAAATACATTCATTGTTTTCGCGTTAAAATACCCCTAAAGTTTGACCATATATGGTCATGAGGCGGGAAATTTGAATTTCTTTAATTACCTGTAACTTCACGCCATTTTATCCGATTGAGATGGGGTTTTCACTGTAAATATTGTTTTTCTGTAACAAAAATGTTTGTAGCATTTTGAACACTGCTTATCAAATTTTTAACGTTGTTACTAAAAATAGGTGTCACTTATGACGTCATACTTTCAAGAAAAGTCAAAAATACCTTTACAATTGTAAAAATTTAAAGAAAACTTTTCTCCAATTAAGATGTTCTAATGTTTTGCTTCATTTGAAATATAAACTACCCCTCTGTAAGCCAGAAATTGAATTTAAGAACCAAACGGGAGCAAGAGCCCTAGCAACCGACCATCGTGAAACATTTCGCTCGTTTCACGAGAAAGAAATAGGCGAACTAGTGGATAAAAACATAGTAAGAACAGCAAGAAGACTACTCGACAGACGAGTTAATCCTTCATAACCAGCTGGTGCTGGCCAAATTTGGAAAGATGTAAGCAATACAAGGATACATGTTCCATCAAATATGATAGTGCATTGGAAACAATATACAATTTATAAGCAGCCGCGCAAGGCAGCCTACTGTGTACATGTAGCTCTTTTGGCAAGAGAAGTCAAGAAATATTTCAAGGCTATCCTAAGCCAAAATAACCGAATTAATTACTAAAACTGAAGAGGGAAATTGCTTGAATATGCAGAAAATGTTGCTTTATGGATGTCAAAAACTCCTTCAGTTAAAGATTTGAACCCTACGTAGAGTCATTTCATAAGTAGGTAGAGTGTGATCTTCCGGTTTCGACAACCTGTGCGGAAGTCATCTTCAGAGTCAAAGTGAGTTGTATCATGTCAGTTGATGGTATTAAGTTCTGGTTATTGATCCGATGGGTTGATTGATGTTGCTGGTCGACTGTCTGTTAAGCCGTGATGTTATCGCCCATGAAGACTCGTAATGCCTTCTGGGCACAGCCCATATTTTACGAAAAGTGTAGTTTATCAATTAAATAATGACTTCCCCAAGCGGTTCCTAAGGAAATTGGTCGCTTCTCAGAGCCCTGGACGGTACGAACTGCAAAAAAAGAAATACATAATAATGATGATGATAATAATCATAATCATAATCATAATCATAATCATAATCATAATCATAATCATAATCATAATCATAATCATAATCATAATCATAACTTTATTTGTGTTTTTGAATGTACAATTGTAAATCTTGCTACGTATAGGCAATTTACAAATGCTGCTTGAGATTGGATTATTCAAAAAAAGAAAGAAAGAAAAAAGGAAAGAAAAAAAAAAGAGATCAAAATTGCATCAAGTCTGGGCTATCCCAATTCCTATTTCTACAACAAAAGATGTAATATGTTGCTCTTATGACTATATTTATCATTTTCTTGATTATATAAGGTTTCTGCTTTTTGTCAATGCCAGTGTCATTTATCATGTCTAAGAACGTGGAGCATTCATCGGAAAAAACGCCAAGGGAGCTCATGGAGAGATTTACAAATTTCACACGTCTGTAATTTCTACTCATTTCTTTGATCAAGTTCGCATATTTTTCCTTTTTTACGCACTGCATTGTTATTAAGGTTAGACTCGAAACCAACTGTTAATTCTAGAACATAATATAGGCACTCGGACTGGATTAGAAAAAGAAGATCTGGACGATAATTTTCACCAGTTATTATTGAGGGATTCAGGAAACCATTGACATCTGCATAGAGTGAAGAGTGAACATTAATTACGGGTTGAAGTGACTTGGCAATGAAGTTAAGGATTGAGTCGTGTCTCCAGGTAAAGCGATCAAGGTACTGTTGACAATTAGCGACAACATGAAGGACTGATTCAGGATTAAGGCAAAAGGAGCAATCAGTACTTTGTGATAATCCCCATCTTGCCATATTCTTACGTGTACGGAGGGAGTTACTGATAAAGCGTGTGGTAAAATTGTAAATGTTCTTGGGTAAATGAGACTGGGCCTCTGACCAAATAGAATTTACAGATGACAATGAATACTCGATAACATTTGAGAAGAAGAAACCTTGAGATGTTAGGTGCTGTTGCAGTTTATCCTCTTGATTAGAACGGAAATCGTTAAGAACTTCCCTAGTGAATTTGTAAACAACATAGCATATAATAGCAATAATGATAATAATAATAATAATAATAATAAATAATTTTATTGAACTTTAAAAACAAAAATATGTACATAATTTACAGAAATATTTAAAGTAAGAATTAAGCACTATATAACATTAAGAATTATATAAATCATAAAAATAGCAATCACTTTGTCAATAACGATTTCGCAAATATATTCCTTGTGGCTCAGATGCGGTCAATGACTCTTGCAGGCAGTCCAGGGTTTTGAATTAAGTCATTACAAAAGAGAATTATCCGTCTGTGATAAAAAGAAAACAAGTTACAAAGATTAAAATCTCATATTCCTTAAATTCCTAATTCTTTAAAAATAAAAATAAAAAACAATCCTTAAAAAAGGATTAATTCGGGCAGGCTCTAATATTATCGACCTGTAGATCCGAGTCAAGCTCAAGCTTAAGCATAGTATCGCAGAGCGTACGATGGCGAAAGATACTTTAGCTCTTATTCAGGAAATCGCGCTTGAGTAACTTTCTCCCTTCTTATTTGCAATCAGCTCCGCAAGTCTGCTGTGGTATTTAACACACTCATCCACCATTCCACCTGTGGTCGTGAAAACCAGTGGAGTGAACGTTCCCTGTTCGATCTCTATTACTCTTTCCCCATACTGCCTCTTCTTCTCGTTCTCATGCTTCTTGTAGATCTACTTAGGAGTCAAGTCTCAGTAAGAGTCTGCATTAGGGTGACACACCCGAACGTCGAAGAATGCAAATCTCTGTCTCTCCCAAAAACCTCGAGCATGAATATCCAAATGGGCATCAGGGGCTTTGTTAGCGCCATGATGTAATGTCTCCCCAGCTGGTGCTCTTGCTTAACAATTCGCCTCACGAGCGGATTAGTAACTTTGATTGAAGCCTTGTATTCAGAAGATGAGGTCACTACAAGATCTATAAATCCAAGGCCTCCCATACGCACAGGGATAGCAAGAAGGTGGCGCTCTTCTTTAGTGACTGTATGGTCAGTGACGGTTGGTATGAGAGCCTTTTTAATCGCCCGCTCGGGTGGCTCAATTAATTCTGCAATATCCGGTAATGTTCTTAGGAAATATGTCCAACTTTGCCGCAGACCAAATTACAAAAGTGAATGTTGCATAGCAGACTTGAGGCTGTGATATGGCGAAATCTGCGAGTTTAGTAACTTAATTGACCCATTCGTCCACTTTCTCACCAACATATTCTTTAAGGAACGATCTTGATCAAAGAGCCGCGCCTAAGTGCTTGTGGCCCTCTGTGGTGACGTTAATAGCAGTGTCTCTAAACACCTCCCTGGCAGCCTGTTCTCGTTCCGGTCTGATGATCAGCCAACATTTCTTGGCATTAGGGAAGTAACCCAGCGGGGGCAACTCTCTGATAGTTCATCCCACCATTTCCTCACGTCTTTCAGGGAACCACTTTCTGTTGCGTCATCAGCAAACCAACACTGTTTTGCTGCGCTTGAAACGTGCAGTCGCGTTATAAGTGGTTGAAGACTTATGACGTATAGGCTCATGGACAGAGGGTCTCCCTGTGTGGTGCCCTCTGCTGATATTAGTCTTCACCGCCTGTAATGAAGAGACGCGCAGGTTGTCTATAGGTGTTTATCACGTAGGTAGTAGCCAGGGTCGGACACAGCACTCGGAAATTATGTAGTGCTGCAGCTCCGTTCAGGGCGTTAAAGGTGTTTGATGCATTTATTAACAGAACAGGATCCGTTTCATCCACATCGAAGATGCTGCGCATTGTATTGCATTGCATTGAATTGCAGTCTCAATTCCGCTTTCGTGCCCTGCACAAACTTGAAGAGAACCACTTGCGTCAATGACATCGGGCTTTGTCACGTGCATAACACACTTTCCCATTATCCTCTGTATAACTTCTCCGACACCGATCGGCCGGACAGCGCCCTCTCCTTTGTCCAGGGGGATGAGTCAATTCGCTAAAATTGCCTCAATACCAAGAGGAACGATAGATTAAGTGCACAAGCATCGAGTCATTGCGGCTGTTATAATAATGGAAACTTTATTTGTGTTTTTGAATGTACAATTGTAAATCTCGCTACGTATAGGCAATTTACAAATACTGCTTGAGATTGGATTATTAAAAAGAAAAAAAAAACAAAAAACAAAAACAAAAACAAAACAAAACAAAAGCAAAAAAAAAAAAAATCTAAATTGCATTAAGTCTGGGCTATCCCAGTTCCTATTTCTACAACACAAGATGTAATACGTTGCTCTAATGGCTATTTTTATCATTTTCTTGATTACATAAAGTTGCTGCTTTTTGTCAATGCCAATGTCATTCATCATGTCTAAGAACGTGGAGCATTCATCGGACAAAACGCCAAGGGAACTCATGGAGAGATTTACAAATCTCACGCATCTGTAATTTCTACTCATTTCGTTGATCAAGTTCAGATATTTTTCTTTCTTACGCACTGCATTAAGGTTAGACTCGAAACCAACTGTTAATTCTAGAACATATAGGCGCTTGAACTGGATTAGGAAAAGAAGATCTGGACGATAATTTTCACCAGTTATTATTGAGGGATTCAGAAAACCATTAACATCTGCATAGAGTGAAGAGTGAACATTAATTACGGGTTGAAGTGACTTAGCAATGAAGTTACGGATTGAGTCGTGTCTCCAGGTAAAGCGGTCAAGGTACTGTTGACAACCAGCGACAACGTGAAGGAGTGATTCAGGATTAAGGCAAAAGGAGCAATCAGAACTTTGTGATAATGCCCATCTTGCCATATTCTTACGTGTAGGGAGAGAGTTGTTGATGTAGCGGACGGTAAAATTGTAAATGTTTTTGGGTAGATGAGACTGGGCCTCTGACCAAATAGAATTTACAGATGACAATGAGTACTTGATAACATTTGAGAAGAAGACACCTTGAGATATTAAGTGCTGTTGCAGTTTATCCTCTTGATTAGAAAGGAAATCTGTACACATCATACTGAATAATATATAGATTTAGCCACAGCTAAAAGCGAAGCTCCCATTGATAATTTTACAACTTAAATCAAACAATAATTTTGTATTCCTCAAATCAGTTCTTCGGTCACATTTAAGAGCAATAATGGCTCTTGATCACAGTGGATAAGGCGTGGAAAACAAATTCTTGGAAAACAAATCAGGCCGAATCTGAGTGCGTGCAAACCAATCTTTTATTTTTTTTTATACACCACATCTGAGGAGAAATAGTTCTATGAGGCGCTGTTTTTATCATACAGACCTCGTACAAAATGCAGTAGTTCACAATTTTTCAAGACAAATTACATTTATTCAGTATTCAGGACCATCGAAGCACGCGTGGACTTTTAATTAGCGAAACCGTTCAAAAAATTTCCAAAATCACCTATACGGCCAGCCGGTTCTAACTTTTGACAACTGCATTAGGGTGACACACCCGAACGTCGAAGAATGCAAATCTCTGTCTCTCCCAAAAACCTCGAGCATGAATATCCAAATGGGCATCAGGGGCTTTGTTAGCGCCATGATGTAATGTCTCCCCAGCTGGTGCTCTTGCTTAACAATTCGCCTCACGAGCGGATTAGTAACTTTGATTGAAGCCTTGTATTCAGAAGATGAGGTCACTACAAGATCTATAAATCCAAGGCCTCCCATACGCACAGGGATAGCAAGAAGGTGGCGCTCTTCTTTAGTGACTGTATGGTCAGTGACGGTTGGTATGAGAGCCTTTTTAATCGCCCGCTCGGGTGGCTCAATTAATTCTGCAATATCCGGTAATGTTCTTAGGAAATATGTCCAACTTTGCCGCAGACCAAATTACAAAAGTGAATGTTGCATAGCAGACTTGAGGCTGTGATATGGCGAAATCTGCGAGTTTAGTAACTTAATTGACCCATTCGTCCACTTTCTCACCAACATATTCTTTAAGGAACGATCTTGATCAAAGAGCCGCGCCTAAGTGCTTGTGGCCCTCTGTGGTGACGTTAATAGCAGTGTCTCTAAACACCTCCCTGGCAGCCTGTTCTCGTTCCGGTCTGATGATCAGCCAACATTTCTTGGCATTAGGGAAGTAACCCAGCGGGGGCAACTCTCTGATAGTTCATCCCACCATTTCCTCACGTCTTTCAGGGAACCACTTTCTGTTGCGTCATCAGCAAACCAACACTGTTTTGCTGCGCTTGAAACGTGCAGTCGCGTTATAAGTGGTTGAAGACTTATGACGTATAGGCTCATGGACAGAGGGTCTCCCTGTGTGGTGCCCTCTGCTGATATTAGTCTTCACCGCCTGTAATGAAGAGACGCGCAGGTTGTCTATAGGTGTTTATCACGTAGGTAGTAGCCAGGGTCGGACACAGCACTCGGAAATTATGTAGTGCTGCAGCTCCGTTCAGGGCGTTAAAGGTGTTTGATGCATTTATTAACAGAACAGGATCCGTTTCATCCACATCGAAGATGCTGCGCATTGTATTGCATTGCATTGAATTGCAGTCTCAATTCCGCTTTCGTGCCCTGCACAAACTTGAAGAGAACCACTTGCGTCAATGACATCGGGCTTTGTCACGTGCATAACACACTTTCCCATTATCCTCTGTATAACTTCTCCGACACCGATCGGCCGGACAGCGCCCTCTCCTTTGTCCAGGGGGATGAGTCAATTCGCTAAAATTGCCTCAATACCAAGAGGAACGATAGATTAAGTGCACAAGCATCGAGTCATTGCGGCTGTTATAATAATGGAAACTTTATTTGTGTTTTTGAATGTACAATTGTAAATCTCGCTACGTATAGGCAATTTACAAATACTGCTTGAGATTGGATTATTAAAAAGAAAAAAAAAACAAAAAACAAAAACAAAAACAAAACAAAACAAAAGCAAAAAAAAAAAAAATCTAAATTGCATTAAGTCTGGGCTATCCCAGTTCCTATTTCTACAACACAAGATGTAATACGTTGCTCTAATGGCTATTTTTATCATTTTCTTGATTACATAAAGTTGCTGCTTTTTGTCAATGCCAATGTCATTCATCATGTCTAAGAACGTGGAGCATTCATCGGACAAAACGCCAAGGGAACTCATGGAGAGATTTACAAATCTCACGCATCTGTAATTTCTACTCATTTCGTTGATCAAGTTCAGATATTTTTCTTTCTTACGCACTGCATTAAGGTTAGACTCGAAACCAACTGTTAATTCTAGAACATATAGGCGCTTGAACTGGATTAGGAAAAGAAGATCTGGACGATAATTTTCACCAGTTATTATTGAGGGATTCAGAAAACCATTAACATCTGCATAGAGTGAAGAGTGAACATTAATTACGGGTTGAAGTGACTTAGCAATGAAGTTACGGATTGAGTCGTGTCTCCAGGTAAAGCGGTCAAGGTACTGTTGACAACCAGCGACAACGTGAAGGAGTGATTCAGGATTAAGGCAAAAGGAGCAATCAGAACTTTGTGATAATGCCCATCTTGCCATATTCTTACGTGTAGGGAGAGAGTTGTTGATGTAGCGGACGGTAAAATTGTAAATGTTTTTGGGTAGATGAGACTGGGCCTCTGACCAAATAGAATTTACAGATGACAATGAGTACTTGATAACATTTGAGAAGAAGACACCTTGAGATATTAAGTGCTGTTGCAGTTTATCCTCTTGATTAGAAAGGAAATCTGTACACATCATACTGAATAATATATAGATTTAGCCACAGCTAAAAGCGAAGCTCCCATTGATAATTTTACAACTTAAATCAAACAATAATTTTGTATTCCTCAAATCAGTTCTTCGGTCACATTTAAGAGCAATAATGGCTCTTGATCACAGTGGATAAGGCGTGGAAAACAAATTCTTGGAAAACAAATCAGGCCGAATCTGAGTGCGTGCAAACCAATCTTTTATTTTTTTTTATACACCACATCTGAGGAGAAATAGTTCTATGAGGCGCTGTTTTTATCATACAGACCTCGTACAAAATGCAGTAGTTCACAATTTTTCAAGACAAATTACATTTATTCAGTATTCAGGACCATCGAAGCACGCGTGGACTTTTAATTAGCGAAACCGTTCAAAAAATTTCCAAAATCACCTATACGGCCAGCCGGTTCTAACTTTTGACAAGCGCCAAATTTGCGAAGAAATTTTAAGAGAGTTACGCTTCAACGTGATAAAGAATTTATTGAGTCTATTTTTTTATTAATGGTTTTCTAACGATGTGTAATCTTAAAAAGCGCTTGATACGCTAGCCATTTTGAGTACTCCTTCAAGTGATGTTTACGAACGCCTGAAAACAAACTGCAAAGCGATGAAAATTACACTTTTGAGACTACCAACAATCAATAAAGAAATATAATTCGGTAGAACATTTACAAAGACAACAATTTTCATTCACGAAAACAAATGAGTATTTAAGTGTCTCTAAGAATCCTCAAGTCTTTACAAGTAAGCTTAAAGATTAAGTTTATGTTTTAAGCCGCCGGTTTCCCGGTGTTTGCTTTTTGTCCAGGGGACAAAAACGCGCCTTCACAACACAAGGGTTCTTGAACACAAGTTTAATAATCGAGAGTTGCACACTCAGCATATTTTCTTAACAACACAACAGGATCGGAATTGGAGTCTCATCTTTGGCTAACAAGCTTCACCTCGCAAGTAAAAACCTACAAAACAAACACTTAATCACTGTTGGAACGGGATTTGGAAATACACGAGCTCCTAAGACTCACCATACGATGAGAAACTCCCGGCGACTAGCGCGTTACAAAGCACATGGTTTCTTTCTCGCTACACGACGACACTGAGACGCGCTCACTAAGCATGCTGGGAGAATAAATTACAAAAACGGAATGGAACGGACTTAGGAAAACAAAAATTGTTCTCTTGTTGAGGATTGGCCTCAACATCCCGGGGGGTAGGGCTGAACAGCCCCCGTAGACAATCACTAATTAATGTTAAAGTTCTAAACCGACTGTTACTTCACGACAATGTTTTCAGTTCAATCTTGCAACGTTCAGTGCACTCTACGGCAAACCTGTCACGCAGCTTCTTCAAGGAGACACAACTTGGTCACAGGACGAGTAAGAGAAGAGTCCTTTGTCTTCACTTCGGCGGTGCGGACACGTGAATCTTCACCAGGAAACACTTTCGTTACGCGACCCAGCAACCAGCGGGATCTCGGCACAGTTTTGTCCACCACAAGAACCAGGTCATTCACTGCTAAATTCCTCTTATTTAGTAGCCACTTGTGGCGTTGCTGTAAGGTGGGCACGTACTCTAGAACCCATCGCGACCAAAAACAGTTAGCAAGGAATTGCGCATGTCTCCACTGCTTGCGTGAGTACAGCTCTTCCTTGGCGAAGACACCGGGGGGTATGGCGAGATTTCGTCGCTGTAAAAGTAGGTGGTTTGGAGTGAGTGGCTCCATGTCACTTGGATCATCACTTGCTGGGGAAATGGGACGACTGTTTAGAATGGACGTGACTTCGGCGAATACGGTGCGCAGGGTTTCCAAAGGGATTGCAGCGCCTGGTTTGCTCAAGACAGCATTCATAGCCTTCCGCACACTTCTAATAAGCCTCTCCCACACGCCTGACATGTGGCTCGCGGTAGGGGGTTGGAAACGCCACCTTGGCAACACATATTTGAACCAATCCGCATCGTACGAATGTAGCTCTCTCTTGATTTGTTCTTCATTCAGTTCTCGAACCGAACGCCGAAGTTCCCTCTCAGCGCCAGTAAAATTCGTGCCGTTATCTGACCAGATCTCCTTAGGGCAGCCGCGAACAGA